TCAAAGTGATGAACTTAAATAAGAAGTACTTTTGCTGTCTGTTGACAATGTGATGTGGCAGGGTTTTTCAGCACTGGAAATGGAAATAGTGCTTGAGAAAGACTTCTAGGTCGAGAACAGGTCACTGACAGCAATAAAACCATCTATAAAAAATAATGCCATATTCTGCTTGAATTTCCTCTTAGCAGGTCATGTGTTTCATCTGCACATTTGGCTGTAACTTGCAGCTTTGATATTCTGAACTGCAAGGACACTAGTAATCCCCCCTATAACTTTTTTTTCCTCCCTATATAAGCAATCAGAAGCAGCACCACGTAACTGCCTCGAAAAGTCAAGGCCTCAAAAGAAAACTAACCTGGAGAAGGGTGCTTGCTGGGAGTAAGGGAGAAAGAGAGGTTTTGTTTGGGAAACAAGAGTGTTCAGAAATGCCCCTTCACTGAGGAGCCAGACAGAGCCTCTCTCATTCACCAGTTCAAATGGATTCACTCTGTGAAAAACGTATTTTCAGACTATAACGAGATTATAGCAGATTATAACTTCTTCTTCTTTCTTTTTTTTCCTTCAAATTGGCTCTTAATAAATCCTCTTAAACGAAGAATTCTCATTTGGCCTACAAAAAGTTACAGCCCTAAAATCATAAATTCAAATGCCTTGTATTTTAAGCTCTGCTTCTGCCAGATATTCCCTGCATACATTCAGTACCACACAGAGCTGAAGAAACTGGCCCACAGTCCTCATCACAAGTAACAGATTGAGAGACCTGGTGTGCCCAGCTCTTCTGCACCCATGTGGCACACAATAACCGACAGGACGCAGGACTGCCTTTGTGAGGAATACCCACAGCACAGAAATTGAGTATGGATTCCAGAGAACTCCAAGTATTTTGCATCCTTTCCAGTGCAAAAAGAGGCAGCATTTGATTTCACTGCAGAACAGGAAAATGTTTATTCTGTATGACAGCATTCCCTAAGACACATGGCTTAGATCACGCGATACAGGAAACAGGCATGAGAGAAGACACACATTTATGAAGTCTATGGTCTAGAGATAGACTTTCCAAAAAAATGAAATAATCCCTAAGATAGGATGATCTTCCCATTATCAGCAGTCCACTCACAGGTCCAGCTGTTGAACATCTGACAGGTAGATGGACTGTTCATTTCAACAAGGGAGGAATCACGTTCCTCATCTTACAGAAAAGATCAAATTTCTAATGAGGTTTGAAGTATTTTTGTCTTCTCCCTCCAGCACTGTATAAGTTAGTTTCTAAAATATTGAAAACTAGGGATACACATTAAGTAATTTTCTTAAGGAAGCTCCTAACAAACTTCAGGCTACTGGTAACTGATTAGACTTCATGAAGAAAAGTACTTTAAATAAGAGTAACAACTAAACAATAAGAATTGCTATCAGAATTATATTTAATGTCATAAACTTCCCTTCCCCCCAACAACATGCTGTAAAGAAACAACAGCTCAGAAGCAGACTCTACTGCACATCCACAGTGTCTGAAACTCACCTGGCTTTCACTTCCAAGCACAGAACACAGCTGAAAGCCTGTCCCCAGAACAACACACTAAACCAGAACTGGCCTGAATGAAACACCAGATCCACAACACGCTGGGTTTCCAAAAGTCAGCTGCTATGCTAATTCTGGAGTGTTCATGTTTGGTAGCTAAAGCAAAGGAAAACTTATTTCAATTCTATTTCAAAATTTCACATACAAAAAAAAAAGTGGTAACAAAATCCTATTTTTGTTTTTCTGTTACACAATCATGGCATTCTTCACTTAGATGAACAGATAAATGCATATTATAAGCTTGTATCATCCTGAATTACTGGCTTTCCAGCCAAGTAAGACACAGACTGTGTTGTGTTCTATTGTAAGATGTCACATTGCTATTATTCAGCAGTTTATATTCTTCAGCAAGTGGAATGTGAAGAAATTTGCAGGATCATAGTCCTCTCGTGAGCTCTACACAGCTCTGGTGACTGAGAGGAAAGGCTGTGTGTGCCCAAGGCCCCCCATGTAGGCTGTGCTGATTAAGGGGAGCCATGCTGACCGTGATAGCGAGCCTTTCCCCAGGCACTTTCCCTGACTATTCTGGAACTCATTTCTAAGCTCCAAACCAAACTAGGATGTTACAAATAAATTATATTCCACAAAATATCACAAGAACCAAAGCAGGAATTGATCCACTGATCCATACACATGTACCCTTCCGCACACCCAAGGCTGTGTCAGAGTTGTTCTGGCTCAAGTACACCTGCATTGCTCCACAGCACAGGGTACAGCTCCTTCCCAGCCTCTTCACACACGATATGTTCTCCAAATCCCTCATCACCACAAAAACCTTCCTTCCACTTGTTGGCTTAAGCTTTTTTGAACACAGGTGACCAGAATTACATACAGTATTTTGGGTGACTATTGACCACTATCATAACATAATAGCATTAAAATTTCTGTATCTTTTAATGATCTCATCTGACTAATACAAGTTATTTTGATACCACAGTGTGTTTTTACAAATTTTACTTCATCAGTAGAAAGGCATCAATCACACCTGGCTTTGACTGAAAAAAGAGAACTCTGTTTCACGGGCTAACTTTAGCTCACCCGTATCTTGCTTGGGCCTGCACGTGTCAGTAGCTGAAGCTCAACCTAACTTTTATACCTGTAGATAATTACAGCTGAGAAAAAAAACCAAAACAACAGGTTTAAGGGGGGAAATGCAATAAAAATAAAAATAAAAAGCAATTTAAAAAATTCAAAAGCATTTCCTCTTGTCTGCAGAAAATACAGAAATGCTCCAAGCACTATATGCCATGACACGTCAACCACATCTAGCATCTTCCAAGGGGAATGGTTTCCTATTATGCACAGGAAAACACCCATCTTCTTTAAACCATTTCCTTACTGACTCAGAAGTCAGCCTCAGTTGCTGTATGTAGACCAGCACTTTACCAAGCAGAGAGAGAGGAATCAAGAGGGAATAAATAAGGGTAAGTGCCAGTCAGGCACCTCATCAACTCTTCCTTTCTGCATTTTTGCCACAGTTCTTCTTTCTACTGTTCATTTCTTGCTGTTCAAATATTGCATCAGAAGAGATTGACTTTTCTGTAGAAATACAGAAAGCTAAAGATTTTATTCCAAAAATCTAAACCTCAAGAGTAATCCTGAGAAAGAAATAGCTGTGTTGTACTGCATTTAGAAACACCCAAATGAATCGTACTCATCAGAGATCGTCTTTTCTATAGACTTTTTTCAGTCAGATGACATAGTCTGTCCTTTTAAGATGCCACTTGGGAAAAAACAGCTCTAGGAGATTTCATGAAAAGTAATTGATGAGTATCTAGATTGAGACCAAAGATATTCAGACTAACTACTTGCTAACAAAGACATAGGAGATTGTTAGGATTAATATTTCAGCTTCTCTGCGATGAAGTTTATAATTCTACATAGCATTAATCCAATTTAAAATATAGGAATGTAATATTTAGATCAGGAATCCAAACCTGCCTAACTTTATTTTGAAAAGCTAACTACATAATCCTAATAAGTAAATTGAAGCAAATGAATTTAAAAGAAAATAACTCATTTTTTCCTACAATTTTAGTCTTCATTAAACAAAACTTCCTAGAGAAAAAAACCAGTCTCAGCTTATTTTAAGTTTTTAAGAGGAAAGCTCTTTTTCTTTTAAGTTCTAAAATATCTCTACACTTAAAAATATTATTTTGAAGAAATGTTCTTCCAAATGCCATTCTACATTGGTGGAAGTTAAGCTCATTACTTTAGCACGTAAAAACCTCATTTACTCTGTACTTGTTGTTAACCTGGCTGCTATTCCTCAGGCTTTGTTGAGTCCAACTTTAAAATTTTACTCAATGTGCTTCCAATGCTTGGCTGCAAACAAAGTTATACGACTGTTTTCAACTTCTTCAGGTTAAAAAGCAATTTTCTTTAAGTGTATAGTGTATAAAAACCCAACACTTTTTGCAGTATCTGGCATTCTTTAAACAGAATCCAAGGCAATATACAGTCAGATATTTTTGCTTCAATACTTGTTGCAAATGAATTTGGGAAAAAAAAAAAAGAAGAAAACAGATTTTAATTATGGAATGTATTAAAATGATAAAGAAAGATGGTTTCAAACTGGAAATTCCCCAGCCTGTGCAAGGGAGTTGGTATTTCAAAGTCCAATCCGGTCCCAAGGCTAGCTATGTATTTTTAAATGCTGAGAAGCAGTAGGACATACAGGCAGGGAATAGCTTTAGAGGCTTTAAGCTGCCAAATAGAAGGGACTGAGATGGAAGCCTAGTGGGAGCCACTCTCCAGAAGTGGGAATGCCATAGCAAAAGGGATAATTATCTGCTAGCCCAAAGCACAGTTATCTAATCCTTAAAAGACAAGCAGGGCCAGATACACAAAATTTCCGATTCTCTATTAATCCAAATCTTAAACTGCATGTTCTCAGAGATGCATAAAGGTACAATGCAGCAAAAAATAACTTCTTGCTACATAAAAATATGTATTTCCCAGTTAGAATCATCATACTCTCAGTAAGAAGATTTTCAGACATTTACAATTATTCAATTTTGAAAACTTGACTGGAACACACAATTTTTACACTAGACCTATGAAGATACAGAACTAGAATCAGAATCTTTGCCTAAAACTAACCTAGTTTTTACCATTGTCTCCAGTTGACGTTCGGCTCCAGAACTTCGAACAATAATATATTTTGTACAATTATGAAGGGAAAGCAATGAACTCGGGACAAAATGGAAGCACTGTGCTCGATCCCAGTCGCATTTATGCTACTTAATGTCAGGAAGAATGGCTCTGGGGGAAACAGAGAGAGCTAAAGATTTTCTTCCAAAACCCTAGGCCTCAAGAGTGATCATGAGAAAGAAATAGCTGTGTTGTAGTTCTGCATTTAGAAGCATGTTAATGAACCATACTTATCAATTATTATTCTTATTCTCTGGGCAGTTGAAGCATGAACAAGACCGAATTCATCACTGTTGCGGGATTGGCCATAACATTGCTGTTCCACATGACTCAAACTGAAGTCTGTCCTCCCTCCTGCAAATGTAAGTCCCTGGGAGAGATGAGGGGCTTGCTTGTAGACTGCAGCTCAAGGAAGCTGACGGAAGTGCCTGCCTTGCCCGTTAACACCAAGAGGCTTTATCTGCACAACAACAGCCTGGCCTCGGTTCCTCCTGGTGCCCTGGACAGCTTGCGCAGCCTGGAGGAAGTGAAAATATTTGACAACCCTTGGAACTGTGACTGTCATATTCTGTATCTAAAACTCTGGTTAGAAGACATCTCTGCACCCTCCATTGCAAACATTAGATGCGCGACCCCGGCTCCCGTGAGGATGAAGCCCTTGATGCAGCTGACTGGGAACGAGCTGAGGATTTGTAAGAGGTTTCTCCCAATCAAGTGTCTTGAGTTCTTTTGGCGAGACCTAGTTTTAATTGCTGGAGCAATAATTACACTTATTTTAGCAGCATGGGCTCTGAAATTCTTGAAAAAGCTGGTCTGCCAAATAAACCTAAGCCAATATGCCTACAGGCGCTACCTGCTGGGGAGGCGTACCTCCAAAAACCACAAGATACAATGAGCTGTTCACGACCGCTAGCTTGAACAAAAACATCGAGCTATTCTACCACAAAAACGCACATGCGCTGGCAACACTCGTTTTAATGGTGAACGTGCTACAAGCAGATCCCAGGGTTCAAAGTCTGGTTCCTCAGATAGGCAAGTTTGATTTAATTTCCTTTCAAAAATAAGGTTGGTGATGTACTGACAGGCAAGCTTCATTCTGCTGCTGTCTACTCATTTGAAAGCAGTTTCTAAATTTAAAAAAGATCATTTAACTTAGCATTTTTGCACTGAAAGCTCTTATAGCAAGAAGATTTACATCCCCAAATCCTACACTTATATGGAGAACAACAACGATTGTACTATGTCAGTAATTCTTTTCTTACTCAGAAGCTGTGTGAGTTTGCAACCTGTTACCCCCTCACAGCATGCCAATGGGCTTGGCAGGGCCGTTCTTGTGTGCGACCAAAATCAGCCATCTCTTCCTCAGGTTCAGGAGTTTCCTGCTAGCAAAACCACTGTGATTATATAGGCCAGCCACTGAATGTATCCCTTTTTGTATATGTTTAAAGATGGACTGGTAATGAGATTATAATCAGTAAAAATAATTCTAAATGCTGTTGAATTTCCTAGACAGTGAACAATAAAAAAGCATTCTATGTGAAATTGAAATAATGGATGCGTATTTAATATTCATACTAACCCAAGTCTGATCTCTTTCACAGTTCTATACATTCCTGATTAAAATCTTAAGATATTTCCAGACTCTGACTTCCAGTTTTACTAATGACATTTGATACACCAGTTTTAATGCAACAGCTTTGAAGAGGGCGTACTCTTTTCCCTTCTCTTCTTGTGCCCCCATAGAATCATAGGATGTATTGGGTTGGAAGGGACCTTTAAAGATCATCCAGTCCAACCCCTGCAGTGAGCAGGGACATTGTTACCAGATCAGGTTGCTCAGAGACCCACCAAGCCTGACCTTGAATATCTCCAGGGATGGGGTCTTCACCTCCTCTCTGGACATCCTGTGCCAGTGATCTACCACCCTGCTCCAGCACTTCAATGTCCTTCTTGTGTTGGGGACTCCAAGGCTGGACGCAGTATCCAGGTGAGGTCTCACCAGAGCACAGCAGAGGGGCAGAATCACCTCCCTGGCCCTGCTGGCCACACTTCTTGTGACGCAGCCCAGGATGGGGTTGGCCTTTTGGGCAGCAGATGCACATTGGTGGCTCATGTTCAGCTTTTCATCCTCTAGTACCCCCAGATCCTTTTCCTCAGGGCTGCTTTCCAGCACATCATCTCCCAGCCTGTATCAGTGACAAGGATTGATCTGACCCAGGTGCAGGACCCTGCACTTGGCCTTGTTATTATCCATCTTTTGTTGAACATAGAACTACAGTGTCCAAGTGCAGCACTTTAGGTCTTTTAAAAACCTCCTTTGGTTTTAATGTATTAATAGTTAGTAGCTTATAGTCACTTGAATCTCTCTGACCTATCACTGAGATTGTGGTGGTCCTGAAAGCCCAGTAGAATCTGGGGATAAATTCTCTCTGAAGTGTTCATGGGTTTCATTCGGACTGTTCATACTAAAGGCTAAGTACAGCTTTGTTCTTGGTAATAAAATACATTGCAAAGTTAACAAGCTTGTATCGTATTTACCATTTTGCCAAGCAGCATAAAAGGATTCAGATTTAGTGCCCAAGCCTTAGCCCTGACCCAGAATATTTAAGTATGCAGAAAATGAGTAATACAAAGTACTGTTTTTCCTGAGAAGTTAAAACCCAGCTGTCACATAATGACAGTAATTTTCCACCTTAGTTGCGCAGCTACTGCTTGCACTGACCAGATGTGCAACTGCAGTAAGAGCTGCTAGAATAACTCATTCGATAAAGCGTCAAATAGCAAGACCAAGAATAATCACAGCCTAATGGGGCTAGTAACAAATAGAAACTCCTCCAGGTGAATAGGTAATTCATTTTGTTATTGAACTTGTAGACATATACTGTAAGAACTAAATACTAATTGAGTCTACAAAACATGTAGAATGGCAGTGAGATAAGCTTACTAGTTGGTCTAAGCTACCACACTTGTACTCTTTTAAGATAAACTAGTTAGCCAACATACATGCATACATTCTCATACAAGTGTTATGTGTAAATGCACTGTTTTGGGAATTACTAAAATAGCCCTTGAGGCTTCACAAAACTGCTGTTTTTCTTGGACTCTCAATGTCCACACACTTACATGTTGTGATTTATACCCGAGTGACACAGTTTTGTTACTTCGGCCTGCCAACGGGAGAAATTCACTACACTGAAAAATAAACAATTCCTATCTAATTACTCCTTCGATACTGCTAAGTTTATGGTAATGCTTAGTAATGCTAAGTTCATCTTAGTAATGCTGTTTATCTCAATGCCTTTTCTCTTTAGAGCACTGCACAAAATTTTCAAAAGCACTTGGAGTCTGTTGCTAGCACCCATGTAACTATTTTGCTATTACATTGACTCCAATTAAATTTAGATCACACTCAATAATGTGTGTGTGACAACAAATTGCTTTGGTTGCATAATGGCCACACGGGTGCTATTTATACTGAACTCCTTCCCAGGGGCAGTTTGCTCCCTGACAAACCCTTCCCCAGTGGCACATTCTCAGTTTATCCGAACTATTGCCTGTGGGCAGCAGCACTGATGTCGCTTTAGCAGGCACACAGCTACTGACTGACGTGGCAAGTTCATTTTAGGCAAAAATAAATCTGAGGTACCTGACAGAGGTTCATTCAGATTTCCTTTGGCTTTGCCCATGACTTTTTTTGACCACCACCCAATTCTTTAAAAACTTATAGTTATTATAGTTGAACGGCACTGTTTTACACAAGTACATTCTCTGGGAAAAGTGGATGCAGACCTCTTCCCTCTGAAGAGCACTAAGAAACAGGGCTAAGGAAACCCAGAGAATTCCTCTTAGTTCAGGGGGAAAAAATGATGCAAAGCCCAGTCTTAAATGGCCTTGATTTAAAGGGAGGGAAGTGTCAGCAGGGATGGATTACAGGCTCCCTTTTCCTGGAAAAAGCCAAAAGGTTTTTGTCTTTGATAGTAATAATTTTTTTTTGCTAGGATTTATATATTACCTCTTATGACCACAGAGAAGGACTATGGAACCTGACACATCCACATAAAATCTACATTTACCACCCATTCATATCAGCAGCAGTGCAAAGTAGTGGAAGAACATGGCAATCACCACAACATAAAAGGTTGTATTCAAGACAGCAGAGCACTTAGAAGCAAGGGTATATTTGACTTCCCTGAGTCTGCAAGGCAACTGCAAAACCTGGTAACTTAATTTTCAGGTGCACTTACCAAAAGCTGAATTATTGGAAAGACTAAAACTAAAATAGCAGCAATTACAACCTGAAGGAAAAGGGCAACTGGAGTCCATAAAAGAACACAAATTGTGCACAACAGAACCTCAGAGCCCCTGAAGTGATTCCTTTAACTTTAGGAACAGCTCTGGCGGGCAGACAGCTCTGAAACTGGATCAACATTGTCACCTAGTGGCTGCCAGACACTGCCAGTGAGAAAAACGCCTCGAAGCTGTCACCCTTTCATACCAAGACCTCAGTAATGGGATGTGATGGAGTGATTTTCCAAACAAGCTACCAATTACCGTTAGCTCTTTCTAGAGTCTTCATGCAGGTCTTCTGTCATGAGTGTCAGGTGATGAAAGGCGTAAATGGTTTTCTTTTGACAGAAATCTAAAGTTACTATACTTTTGGACATGGGCAATACAATCTCCATTATATATATATATATACACACATACATACACACAATCTCACTGTGTTTAATCATTTTTAGACCTGCCTTAAATTTTCTGGTACTACAACTCTCAAAGATAGAGCTCAGTCTTTATATTAAAACTTGACATATGTTGTATTTCTTCTGCTCTCTCAAAGAGCTTTAATGTGACTTAGGATTTGACTAACCACTTTGGTACTATTGCTTCATCCTATCAGGGTGTCATAATACATAAAGAACAAAAAAACTGTAAAGGAAGTAATTAAAACAAAGTCTTGTAATCAAAGAAAACAGCACTTAGTGTTTGGATTTTTTCCTACCATTCCTCCCCTATTTCTGAAAATCTTCAACAGGTCATTCTGAGACAAATTGCTTCAAAAAAGAAGAAACCTCAAAGTCAGTCAAAAATTAAAATGTAAAAATCTGTGGCAATCTGTTAGTTATCTTCAATAAAGAAAGAAAAATGTTTTCAGATATATTTCAAATCTAGAAATTATGATCTATTGTTGTATTTTGCATAAAAACACACTTCTTTTTCTTGAGCAGCTTCTTGGAGTAGAGATTCTTGATATTTTTAAGGGCCAAGCACTTGCCACGTGTACGTCCCCCCACTCCCCATTTGAGAAAATCCCCTGCTGTAAAGGTAATATTGAGCCAAAGGATATAATAAGAAGTCTATGTTTATATAAAATAATAAACAAAACCATAATATATTTAGCCGAGGAGCAACATTTTAAGGTTTTCACATAGTTTCTTTAAACCAGAGCTGACTGCTTGCCAGTCTCATTAGATATAACTGAACTGCGTGATGTAGCTATTGTATATTCACGAATACATTTATCTTTCCACACTTGACTCTGTACCACATGAGTCTGAACCTGCAAAAGTAGCAATAAAGGCACAAAGACTGAACTGCCACATCTGCATTCACATCTGCACTGAAAAACTGTTTCAGCTGTGACACTAAGAACGTCCATGTCGAAGGAACGAGTGTGCTGACAGAAGCCGCAAACTTCCTCATTATCTGTTTCTATCATGACAACGAGTGTAATTGAGGAACACATTTATTAACTTCAATTAGTAGGTGTATTTTTGTTCTTTTAATTTCATTGTGGATTTCTTTAGAATATAGCCCAAGTTTGGCTAATAAAGTACTAAGACTTCTGTTTCCCAACGCAGAGATACCACAGATAAACAGTTAAGAGGGAGCACA